CTAGATCTAGTGCTGAAGCAGAATTTTGAGCAATGGCCCAAGGAATATGTGAACTTTTATGGCTGAAGATTATATTGGAAGACTCAAGGATAAAGTGGGATGAACCAATGAGGTTATATTGTGATAATAAATCTGCAATTAGTATAGCACACAACCCAATACAACATGATAGAACGAAATATATTGAAGTGGACAAACATTTTATAAAAAAAAATGCTTGATAGTGGCTTGATTTGCACCCGATATGTGTCCACTCAAGGTAAACTTGATACTCACCAAAGGACTGAGCAACAGTAATTTTGAAAGAATTATATCCAAGTTGGGAATGTAAAACACTCATTCACCAGCTTGAGGGGGAGTGTCAAAATATATTTTAGGAAACTTTAGATATTATTCCCACGTAGTTAATTTGTTATATTCCTTGTATCTTGCTATATCTTGCTATTATTACTAGAATAACAATCCCACAATTTTAGGGATTTGTTCCGTAGAATAGGATGCTCATTAAATAAGCTCTTGTATATATATCCAATGCATGTAAGAAGACAGATAATAAAATATATATTCTCTTTCCTAAATTTGAGACTTCCTAAAATAGCTTCTAGCCTTGTATATATGGATTGTATTCTCCGCATAATAATAATATAAGATTCTACCCTAAACTGTGAGAGATAGGATAGTATACCTTTACTAAATTCTAATATTTTTGGAGAAAGATTTCAACTTCCTTGTCATAGGTTTTCTTGGTGGGTTGTGGTCTACTCCTCCATTTTTTTTTCTCATTTATTTTATGGATTAGGGTGTTGCATATGATTGTTATTTGTGGTGGTGTCTGCACAGCTAGGATGAGAATTAATATTGTGATGCTTAGCACTACCTTTTTTAACCTTCTTTTAGAACAATGGTTGCAACATCAACTGAACTCTAGAACACTTGATCATATATGCTTTAATTAACACTATGTTGTGAACAAACTATCCCAAAAAGCTTAAGCTATTAGGTGATGACACTATTGATTTTAATTTTTACATGGACAGAGTAACATTTGTGTTGAAATATTATTAGAAGACGAGTTTCATATTGTCATCTTTACTCCTATTTGAAGATTTTTTTAATATATTAATTGAGTTTTTTTGGGTACAACTTTTTCCAGGCATTTTCTCAGCACATGGTACTGTCAGTTTTGTTTCTAGAACATGTGATATCTGTCCTTAGCCAGATTCCGATTCTAAAAGCTGATGTGGACAGAGTTGAGGATAGTCCCGTTGACAGTCATACAGAAGATGGCAAACTACAAGCTGCAATTTTTGCTCTTACTGCTTTCTTCAGGTCTGCATTATCAGCAATGCCTTTTTGCCTTTAAGATACATAAATGATCTAATAATTTTACAAACCATTATTTGATGCAGAGGTGGGGGAAAAGTTGGAAAAAGGGCCGTTGAACAAAACTATGCTTCTGTTCTTTCTGAGCTTACACTGCAACTTGGAAGCTGTCACGGTTTAACCTATTCTGGTCAGCATGAACCATTGAGGTAACCACTTTGAAACTGTGCTTCTGCTTTTGCCTATTTCTGTTCTTACTAAGTTTATACTGGAATTTCACTTGCATGATAGCATCACATTTGCGTTGCCAATCAACTATGTCTGTAATTTATTGTGTTACGTATAAATAACACTTTCAAATTTAAATATTAGGGATAATTTTAAAAGGGTATGTTTTGAAATCTACAGTTCATATTATTTTGGGATGGTTTTCAATGGAATTGGGGAGATATTTTAATTCTGTAGGTAAAAACCCCAAAGTGAGTTTTAACGTCTGACCTATCATTATTTTTTTTTTCCGAACATGATATTATATCATATGGTATAGTTGGCATCTTCAAGGGAACCGAACAAATTACAAGTAAAATAAAATTTGTGAAAAACTACTCAGAGAAAGCAGTTATTTGCACTTTCATTCTTGTGCAGGAATCTTCTTACTGCATTTCAGGCATTCTGTGAATGTGTTGGTGACCTTGAGATGGGCAAGGTAGACAAATTTAAAATTGCTTCGTGTTAGAGTATAAGATATGGTCTTCAAATTAATACAGAAAGTGTTCATTTATCTAGATTTTAGCTAGAGATGGTGAACTATCAGGAAATGAAAGGTGGATTAGTCTCATTGGAGACATTGCAGGCTGCATATCTATAAAGCGACCAAAAGAGGTAATGTGATTTCAAATATAAGCATTACCTTACATATCCAGAATACCCCATGAGTTAATGATTATATGACCAAAGGGAAAATGCTAATAGGATATTTGAGTATATATTGATGAAATTTTAGTTGTTGGTGTTGGAGATGTAAATCAAACCTTGAGTCACCTTTTCAAGTAAACCCATTTCTGGAAATTGTTTGATAGGTCAAGGCTTTTCAGTTTATGATGATTAAGTTGTTGACATTGTATGTTAAATTGTAATCTCTTTGATAAAATGTTTGGAGTTCAATTCTCTCTTTATTGGATTATTAGTGGTTATGCATGTTGGAGATACGAATCTGAACCATTTGATTATTCTCTTAACAATGCAAGCTTTTATATGTTTTAAGCCTTGGTTTTTATTGAAAGTTATGATAATTATATCAATTGACTGTTATTTTATTTGTATTGGACAAGTCTCAATAATTTAATATTATTTAGTTCAGTTTGAAGGACTGTGCGTAATAGGCTATTTGATGCCTGCCCACTAGTCATGAATATCTATTATTCCTAATGAAATGAAATCAATATTTCAAAAATCAGTTTTTGCATACATTAGGTTGGATAGGTTATGATGGTATCACTGGAATACAATGATTACTTTAGCTGATTGTTTTGTTTAAAATACTATTGTCATCAATATAGTGGTCTGTGATTTGGTGTTAATTTCAGTTTCCCTTTTCTTTTTCAATAGGAGGTGTCTCATCTTTTCTTTATTTATTAGTTACTTATTCTAGCTCCAATCAGTCACCTTCCTACTCTTTTTCCTTCACGAATACTGATTTGACTGATATTTGGACTATGGAATAGACTACATCAAGGAAAGAACCTGACTAACCAGCAGAAGTGACTGCACCTTTTTTTTCTGCTTTTAAGAATGTCTTGCATTTGACCTTCTGCTCTCATTTTCGGCAAATAATACGATAGAAAAGTTATATTGTTGGGGATCATTTTCTTTCCTTGAGAGCTATTTAGTAAAACATTGTATGCCTTCTGAAGTGTTAACCTGATTTACCAACTTTCTTTCCTTGTTTGATATATAGGTACAAAATATTTGTCTATTTTTGAAAAACTCATTGCATCGACCCCAGAAATATCAGAGGGAAGCTGCAGCAGCTGCACTATCAGAATTTGTTCGGTATAGGTGAGTGGGTATATAATGACACTTTGAATAATTGCCACCACTTGAAAAGATTAATCTGTAAGAAAGAAGATTCTTATTCATTTGATTAATTTGAAACAATACCTCAACCTCTATCTATATATAGAGAACTGAAACCCTTAGTAATAATTGTTGAGAGATCTCTAAAATCTTCTAATAGCTTCTAGTAGTACACTTAATATCCTACTAATAACACTCCCCCTCAAGATAGTGAATAAATATGTATCGTTCCTAGTTTGTATGTGAGATCATGAAATCATTTAGTAAACTGTAAAATAATTCTAGAGGGCTTGATTGATCCCTCTCACAATCTTCTATTTATAAGAATAAATTGATGCACAAGTACATGATAAATAGGGTAACCCTAGACACAATATAATCATGATAAATAGCCATACGATAACCCTTACACATATAATGATGATAAAACGGAAAATTATCCTAACACTCCCCCTCAAGCTGGCAGCATACACATTGTAATGTACCAGCTAGGACAAATAAATCTCAATTCGAGGACCCTTATGACTTTGGTCAATATATCTTGCGAGTGACGTTTGACCCATACACTCAGTACATATTTCTTTGATCAACAACTTTTTCACGACACGAAAAATGACAATCCAATTTCCTATATGTTTTTAGTCACTCTCGTGAAACACTGATTTTGATGCAATGTGTAAGAGCGCACTTGATTGTCGCGCATACATACTTCTAGTATAAAAAGGTTGTCCAAACTTTAACCGTCTTGAAGGAATTGTTCACACCCAATATAAGTTCACATGTTAGTGATGCCATTG